AAACCCTTCCCTCACTCTTGTAATACTCTAAACAGTGTTTCTAAACTCTAAAGCTTTAAAAGAGCACAGAATGTCATGATTTCAGCTCCATGCCTCGTCTGCTCTTTGCCACCTGCTAGAGCTCTTGGCTACGCCCACTTCTCAGCTCTGCACAAGAACAGCTGGCCAGCTGCAGCAGGACGTTTATCCTGCAGTGTGGGCTGCCCAAAGGTGCAGGAGGAAGCTTTTTCTGCAGCTCTGGGCTGCGCAAATGTTCAACAGGTGCTAAATATTTAAAAATAATTTATTTTAAATAAAAATTCCATGCCGATCGTGCGGCTCATCCATCAATCAGCCAATTGTGTGTCATGTTCAATTTTACTTTGAAAAACCGCAATAGAGCGAGTCTGAGAAAAACGAACCGCAAAGTATCAAGGGACTATTGTATTCATAAACATTAATTTATGTCTGCAGCAATAACCTCAGAGTTGTGCAAAATACAATAAAGTTTATTTTTCATTTTTCAAAGTTAATTTGCTATCACTTTTACAAAATCTGGTTAAAGAAATACAAAATTGCTAAAGTCCGCTGCTGCTTTTTAGTATCTCTCTTGCAATAAGTCATGCCCTCAATACCAGCCTTGCTGTCGCAGCAGAAAAATACATTGACGCTGAATAAATTTCACAACGCTAATAAAAACGTGTGTTTTTCCTGTAGGTGAGCCAACATGTGTTACCTGTTAATGAGAAGCAGGACTGGACCTATAACTGTGTTGAGACCATTCTACCCAGCACATAAAGCTGCACTTTCTTCTGACATGTATGTTTTATGGACTGTGGGAGGAAACTAGTACCTGGAGAAAACCCGTCATTGCATGGGGAGACCATGCACACTTCACACAGAGACACCCCGGCTGAGGCACAATGTCAAACATTTATTTGTTCTATTTACAATCAGATCAGTTGTAGCTGCTTAATTTACTGTTTGGTTTGCACTCTGTGAAATGTGAAACTACTGGTCATGATTATTCTAATTTGGCCGTGAGGCTCTGGGTTTGGCCATGAAATGCATTCCTTTAGGTTGCACTCAGGTCTAAACTTTACTCGCCCTCGGCCTTTCCATTCGACTACGGTTTTTGCCTCCTATTTTTATCTCTTGGGCCATTATCTGCCCTTTGACTTTCACTGCTGAAACAGTAGAGCCGGGTGAGTAAATGTCACATATGCGCAGTGTATTTAATGTTCTGAGCCTCTGCCTGCTCATCTTTACCCAACGCAGTGGTACCGCTCGGCTGCTTTTACATTTGGGGTTCAGTTATCTGGACTGGATTTCTGCCATTCATAAAGTCTTTATTAATGCAGTGAGAAATAATAACAGAAAAATAAACAACTATAAAGAGTAATTGATCACTTGATTTAAAGTAGTAGTAGTTTTCAGTAAGATGATGGTTTAAAAACTAGAAAACTTTCAAAACAGGTTAATTTTTTTAATTTTTTCAATGTAAAACCCCTAAACTAATGAACCCGTCTCGTTCTTGTGACAACATGTGACGTTAAACTTTGTCGTGATCAAACACTGATTCAACGAGCACATTTCTGGGGCAAACATTTCCCAACACTCTTCTTTCAGAATTCACCCTTTAAAACTAAAATAAACTGTTGTTGCATCGGAGCACCTTTATGGCCGACTCTGTCCAGTCTTTTTTCCACACTAGTAAATACTTATGTAACTTTCTGTGGCTAAATGTTTACTGTTGATTTTTTTGGGACAACAAGCCTTGAGGGTCACAGACCCCTCAGTGTGAAGGGTGAGGGTTCAAAGGTTTGAAACATAAATACAGATGAGTCAATTGGCTTTGTTTAAGTTACTAACAAGATAAAGTTAACACTGAGGTTATTCCAATGAAATATTTGTTTTTTTATGTAAATGTGGAGTTTTATAACCTGTAAATGACTATTTATCCTTCAGACTTACACGTGATGCTCTGTAGTTTGTCCTCAGCCTCAAATCTTAAAGTTGTGTTCATCTCTCTCTCTCTCTCTCTCTCTCTCTCTCTCTCTCTCTCTCTCTC